GTCGCTCGCGTGGTGCGGCGGTCTGGAACGTGGCGATTTGCAGACCGTGAGGACCGTGGGGGGGTCGAGATGTCAGGGCGCAAGTCAGGGAAACATTCCCCCGCCCCTGTTGTACATCGTGGAGACGAGAGTAGCGAGCAATACTCGCTCCGGCTGTCCGTCCGTCTGTATGTCTTGTTTGCCTAGTCGGGTTAGAGCGGGTCACACGACCCAGACACAGCCGGTGGATCTGCCCCAGCTCGCCATGTCCACGTCGCAGCGTCCTTACGCGATTAGGCAACGGATATGATACAGTGGTCATTTTTTTTTTGCATTCATGCATTTATAATGTGACGCATCTCGAGTATAGCGCGGGCAGTGACACAGCGCGGCCGATTTGTACCCCTGTAAAGCTACACATTATTGCAGATACAGCTGCACGTGTACGCACGTTCGTGCACGCCGCCGGTTCTCGAGTTCAAATATTTATATATATAGGCTATCATACAGTAAGTATATACGTGATCCCTACCGGATTATACACACACACAAAAAAAGGTGTCAATACTGTGAGTTGGCAATTGTGTGCAACAATGCAGGCGGGCTTCAGCACGTCTGCCCCAACGCTGGGCCAGGATTTTCACGATCAGCGCGCTGGGATATTCTCGTTTTGCGAGCTGTTGAGCATCCACGCGTCACAGCAGGATATGGCCTCTAAGTAGGATTGCATATTTTGTACGGGTTGGAAACACGGACACCAGTGATAATACCGAGTGAACCCTGAATGTGAACAACGGAGAAGCCAGTTTAACACGTAGGCTTTCGCGACCGATATCATCCATAATAGAGAGGGGGGGGGGGGGGTTGGGGGGGGGGGGTTAGATCGCGTAAATAATATATAAACGTCGCACTCCGATTGTAAATGTTGTGGCTTGGCTCTCCAACACACCGGTTAGTGCTGTACTAGTGACAAATTGGCGCGTCCTGTTTACGTGACAACCCCTTACTAGTTGGCCGTGTCGGGTGGTGGTGGGCTCTAACGACACATTTATATATTTACGCTATCTTACCCCCCCCCCACCCCCCCCAAAAAAAACCTCTACAACGGAGAAGCCGACGGTTGGTGCAGTGGCAGAGCGTTGTTGGTTGGCATGGGCCATGGCGCAAAAAATGTAAAGCGGCACTCACCCTGTCCAACAACTCTCCCTTTTCTAGCTATACTGGCAACCTGTTACCTCCCGCCCCCCTCACCTAACCGCCACCCTGCCTCTCCATCTGAGCCGTGGGCTCTGGCGCAGTTGCACCGCCTGCACACTCGACAGACACGCCACCGGGTAGGTGCATGAAGCGACGTGGGTATTTTACGAGGTCTGGTGGGCTCTTGCACTCAAAACTGTCCAACGAGACCACCAGCCCCAGGCGAACAGCCAACAACTCTCTCAGTCCGCATCCAGGCAACGCTCGCTGTGGACGTACGAGCGATAGACAGAGGGACCACGTGGATTAGAGACTACAGTACTGTAGACTCAAGACGTTGACCCTCGAACCGGGGTCATTGGGCTTGGATAGGGCACTTCCCTTCAACGACCCTGGCCGTTGGTTCAAGACAAATGAACGGAGCCGCGTCCAAAAGAGGCGATGGAATCCGCTCACGTGCAGAATCTCGATGGGTTATTGCATCACAAGACCAATACGGATGGAGGCAGCTTCGGGGAGGGTCTTCGTCCAACAGGGGATGATTGATCGTGGCTGAAGATGATGGTGAATGCCAATTAAACCAGATTTCTACAATTCTAGATTTGAAGCTTTCGTGACTGCAAGGATTCATATTCTTGGGTTTTTTTCGGTAAAGTCACGTAGGTAAAAATTTCAAATTAAAATAAAATAAAAATCACGACGTTTCGGAGGCAACACAAGCTTCCGTCTTCAGGTGTAACCGTCACAGCATGCTTGCTGTATCAAGTAAATGAGAAATTCCAAGAGATACTACCCCGTATATATACTGGTTGAGGGGGGAGGAGCCAGGGTAGGCCCCTGGATAGGAGTTTTTAATTATTATGATAAGGTTGGTGCGGCTGAAGCTACGGCTAGTCTACATAACAAAGGACTGAGCCTTTGTTATTTTATTTTATTTTTATTTAAATTTAATTTTTTTACCTACGTGACTTTACCGAAAAAAACCCAAGAATATAGATTTCTACAACTTTGCCCGAGCAGCGCAATGAGAATCCAGATCAGCTGCATCGCTCGACCTTGCAGACTCTCCGCTATTTCAGACAGAATCGCGACGAAGCAGATCGCCACTTTTACCGAACGCAATCGATGCAACAACAAGATTCCCAAATGTCGCCCAAGCCGTGCTGTTGTTACGCAATATTTTCTGGTTTAATACGCCAGTGATGTCGGCCTTACTAGAGATTTGATTTGGCTTCAACCAGATATTGGCTTAAACCAGTTCGGGGCTGGTCAGCGGGTATTGCAATGGTCAGCATGCAGCACCATGAACCCGGCCACCTGAGTTTGTTTTCAGGCCACGGCTAACATCAGTGGCGAGCGATATCTGACGCGCTCTTGGGCACCCCCACTCCCCAACCCTTCACCCCCTTCCTAAATCCGCGAAATATGGCGAAGTAATGGTCAAACCAACCCCCCCCCCCCTTTACCGACACGGCATGGGGTCCTTCATCCAGCAGTGGATCGACAAAGGGTTGTCCATTACCAGCACTGACGCCAAAATCGTTCCTTTTAACCCCTTTAATTGGCAAGCTTCTGGATCACAATTCGATTCGAGGATCATTTGCGTTCCGTCTCCTTTGTTTAACGTCGCATTTGTATTCTTCCTCGGTTTGTCTCGCCCCTTTAGCTCCATCACGGCCTACGCGCCACGCTCAGCATTTCGACGTGCGTGCATTGCAAACAGATGCACGATCACGCGTGCAAGAATCGACGCTAATCCAGGGAGCAGCTGCATACCCCGTAGAACGCCACCTCCGCGGAATTCCACGAGAAGTTAACCCAAGCCCGCATGTCCGCAGCACAGGCTCGCGAAAGTCAATTGCATCGTCGTTCACTCGTGCCGAAGGCTTTCTGGTGTGTCAAGATGTGTATCCACCGCGTACATCTCGCAAGCAATGATACACTTGGTACGCATGAGCTCTGGTCCAAAAGCGTGGCTTGGAATGCGTCGCCAAGCACGTAAACATTGAGCCGAATGTGCGGCACTGGTTAATTATGCACAACAGTATGAATATTGCGTTTAAATTTCGATTTAAAGCTTTCGTGACTGCAGGGATCCATCTTCTTGGTTCTTTCGGTAAAGTCACGTGACTTTGCCGAAAGAACCAAGAATATTGCGTTTATTTATTTTTACAATGGCTGTGGAGCTGCGCGGAGGGGCAGCAGAGGGCAGTGTGGTAAAAATGCAGTTGTACAGCAGTATCTATGGTCCCACGTCCGCTCACCCGCCCTCACCAACCCGCACTGACCGGCGTGGTGAAGTATGGTGAAAAATAACCCCCGCGACCCGCATGGCGCTGGGGAGATCATCATCATGATCATCATCCAGCAGTAGATTGACAAAAGGTCTACGACACGTGCGTATCAGGCAGTGACGATCACGACGACACAACTGCGATATTTTGTTAAGGGTCCTCTTTGTTAGCGATGCTTGCACGTGAACGGACTGTCGCCTGCTTATGAACAAAGGCGAAAGGTCGCTGTGGTCGGTAGCATCACTGTTGCATGGCTCTGGGAGGTGCGGAATGGACTGATGTCGTGGCAACTTAATAATAAATCACCTTCCGAAAGTTAGGGTGAGTATTTGCATATATTAGGGTGTTTAAATGTCACAGCAACTGAAATGTGGTCGGTGGTGGTTGTTGTCATCGACCGGTGTAAAACGCATCCGCACAAGGGAAAACAACGTCCAAGAAACGCGCGATGTTTCTGTAGCCTGTCCCACCCTGTCTCTCTCCTGTCGGTGATCGTAACCAGACAACAGTCTGGCTTAGAACAACAACAACATTCGGGGTACGATTGATGTTCAGTTGCGTTGTGTTCTGGACCCCCCCCTCCCCCCCCCCCCCCCCCTCTCGTTGTGATCACAGGGCAGGAGGAGTGAAGAGACAGGACCGGTCGCTGGGGGTAGCTTCGCTCACATTCACAACGTCGCTCGCAAAGAAAGAACATCCGGCTCGCCAGCCTCGAGGTCAACACTGGACGCTGCGAATCACCCCGCCACACGCGCAAGAAGCAACTCAGAGCGCATGGGCTCCACATCTTATCCCGAGCAATGCCCCCTTCCGTCGTCTCGCCACGAGGTGTACACGGCACCGATTTGTCAGTGGGCATATGGTCTGCCAGTAAGTGGGGAAAGTTCTCACCCATAGTTCTCCACTCCCGCCCAACGCCGATGTTTTAGAAGCCGTGGAAATATTCTTTGGTTCTTTCGGTAAAGTCACGTATAAAGATAAAATAATAAATTAAATAATTGCATACTACGACGTTTAGATTGCAACACAAGCAATCATCATCAGGTATTTCTTTTATACCTGATGATGATTGCTTGTGTTGCAATCGAAACGTCGTAGTATGCTATTATTTAATTTATTATTTTATCTTTATACGTGACTTTACCGAAAGAACCGAAGAATAATTCCTGCAGTCACGAAAGCTCCAAAATTAAGATTGAGCCGTGGAAAGTCGACGCAAACGCCCTTCGGTCGCGTTCGCAGGACGCGCTCACCGTCCCCTCTGATGCACGGACAGCGAAACCTCGATTTGCCGTGTGTCACGGGAGAAGCCAAATCAAATGTTAACGTGAGGGCAAATGTTCAGCTGGGGAAGGTCAACAGTGATCGTTGTCATTGGAGCATTGGAGGGTGTGGACATTTGTCCAACATTTTAGGTTTTGGTTAAGAATGCATGGATAGAGCCGCACGTGCAAAGCAACATTTGGCAGCGTTTCATACGGCGGAACAAACAATTCAAGGGAAACACACGAAAGCAATTGGAGACACGGCTCGTGGAGGTGAATTTATAAATTCGCTTCGACGGGCATTCAGACGCGGGTGGAGGAAGGGAAAACATCTTGGCTGCGATGATGATGACGATGACCGTGAACACAATTGTAAAATATTCATCCGTTCTATCCTCTCAAGCCCCGCCCGCAGCTCATTGTGAAAATCCCAACGGACAGAATTGCTGACGGATCACGACACACGCGCAGACAATCGCGCCGCACTAACACCACCGGCTCGACGTGTCCCTCCTTTGTCTCCACGCACGCGAGAAACTCGTAAGGGGTTGCCACCTCTCCTTGTTTTTTTCCGGGATAGTTCTCTTTTTTGGGGGGGCGGGGGGTCCCTGTCTTAGGAAATATTGTCAAGTCTCGTCGGGGACATTAGAGTCCCGTATTTTATTGTCAGGTGCTGAACACATTTTTTTACAATATACACACTATTCGAGACAACGCACGTGCATGCACTGCCCCCTTGCTAACGGAGCGATAATCTTGGTATGCTCGCGACGTGTCCGTGTGGCTTGTTGTACCTCACTGGTGGCAACCCCTCCCCCAGCCTGCCCGCAGTGCGGCTGGAGGGATCGATCGAGGAACTCGCAGGGCCAGGAAGGCCTCCTGGGGCATCAGGTGTGCCATCCGTGGTGGTTGCGGTGATGATTGGCGGCGGCGGTGGTGGTGGTGGCACATGCCCTGTTTTCCTACTGCGCCTCTCGCAACAATGGGGCAGCTGCGTCTGGACCGGTGACCAGACTCGCTTACGAGAGGCAACATTAGGAAAAGTTTTTTTTACTTTACAACTATACTGTTGAAAGTGTGTCGGCGTTTTTGGTCCGTCTGTCCGTTCGCTATGGGAAGGGGCGGCAGAATCGCTCTCCCAATAATCCAACTTGAAGGGACTTACCCGATTGAAAATCGGCCAAATTGATCACAGGATGAGACCCATAACTTTGGAGACCCAAACCGTAGCAAAAATCACAATTTGAAAATTTTCAAAGCCATCTTTCCCTGGCAGCCACTCGTCCCGCTTCCATACTGCGAATAAAACACATCCGAAGACACGTGCAGTCTGCACGATTTCCCTAACTCGTTTTGATTTCACTTCAAGACCTAATGCACGAGTCGGTACCAGCCTGCCATACGATGGGATGAATTCACTATTGTTTTACCAATGTCAAAGGTCATACATGGCTTGTCATCATCATACATTTCTGGATCCTTACAGTCAGAATGAGCCCTTGATCGATTCTGCGTGACATAAATTACTCGAGTACTGTGACGCACGAGACAAACTCGCAAATGAACGAATTCGGGGCTCTTACAAATGTACATGATGATAATAATCATCATCATCATAACGCAGCAATAATAATGTGTGTACCCAAGGAAAGCCTCACAGAGCCTCAAGTCTCACTTTTACGACGGTGTTGGCAATCGGCCGCTCGGCCAGTTTTCTTCCATTAAACAAACGCCTTTCGTGCGGGGAAGGTAACACGTTAGAGTCTGGAGAAAGCCCACGGACACCCGATTAGCACGGTTGTCTACATAGTGTGCAAAATAAGTCGAACTTACATCACACGACCCACCTCCCACACGCACGGCTCAAACGCCGACTCGCTCCGCAAGGGTCGGGCGTCTTGCTCACGAGACGGCTCCGTCTCTGCGCGCTCCACCAACCTTACACCCCATGCTGCTCTCTTGGCCACAGACGTGCATGGACCATGCTTGTAGACCGTAGCACGGAGACGTAACGGAGTGTAACAACACGTAAGCGTGCGACGCCGTCCGGACCATGCACAGTAGAGCCATACGCACACGTGTACTGTATATATATGCATTTACGCGTAATCTATGCACAATGCATGTCGCGGCGAACATCACAGTCACTTCTGCACGGCGCACATTTCTGTTTCATCAGTCCTCGCTGTTCTTCTGCTCATAGCGGGACACTCCGGACGTATCTTTTCGTTATTGTCAAGTGTCCACTGATGGCGAAGTGACTCCCGTGTTTTTTAGGGTGTGCGTGTGTATATAATGTGTACCGTAAGCCAAGCCAAGCCAATCCAAGCAAGCCGTCTTCCTTCTGAATATTTTCCGTTTCAATGCTGGAGCAGACGGACCGATCGAGCACTTGCACGCGAAATGAACGCAAGCCATTCCCTCGCTTTAAAGGGGCGCCACAGTGACAAGATGTTAACTACTTCGCCTGGTTTACAGGAGGTCGTGGGTTTGATCCTGACCCAGACGTCTGTATATTTGTAGTTCCCATGGTCTTCCCGTGGTCGCGTGGATTTTCTCCGGGTCCTCCGGTTTTTCCCTCCACATTTAGAATCAACATACGTGATAAGCCACCTTGTTCAGCTTCTGAGAAGGAACTATGTGGCTCAGTGGGCGTTACCTGGTAAAATAAAAAGAGTTCGTTTCTTAGTTAGACAAAATCGTCCACGCCATAGTTTCGTCGTCAGCCTGGAGATGTACATCCCACTCACAGGCCGGTGTCGAGTTAGCCTTGTGCCGCACAGGGACAGCTGACGCTGGGGGTGCCCCCCTCCCCTCATCCCCCCCTGAAGATGTGCTGCATGGGAGGCGCGATATGAATAGCAGTAAGTGACGGTGACTATGGGATCACAGCGGTGAGCAGCACCGATGAGTTGACCAGTCCGACCCGGGTGAACTCGCAGCTCGGTGGGACGCGGATGACCCCATGTTTCTTCATCAATCCGAAGCGAATAAACAAACAAACGAAGAAGCAAAAAAAACCCACACACGACATTACCCAGGGATTCATTTCTCACCGAATATAATCCGGATCGCTCGTAGACTGCAGTTGGTGGCACATGACGAGCAGCCTGAAGCCGTATACTGGACGTGGTGTGCCGGGTGCGAAAATATGTTTCGTGTCGACGACCCAGACTGGCTTGGTTTAAAAAAAAAAAAACGTAAAGCCCTGAACAAACCAGATACGCGACACAACTCAAGAAAAAACGACCACCTAAAACATCCTCCCATATTCGCACGATGCCATCAGCGAGCCGTCGCAGCGCGTGGCTCCGTGCCGCGGGGCCGCTCGTGAGAGAAGAGCCGGCCTCGGCTCGTCGCGGGGCAGTTTGGCCTCGCGCCTGCGGTGAATCGAGCGCGGAAAAAACGTCGCCGCCGGTGAGCGCGGTCACACCCGCTCCGTCGCCACTCGGCCGGTGCGTTTCACCGTTCGGTGGGGACGACGCGCGCGGTTCACCGTGACGTCGGGCGAGAGAGAGAGAGAGGGAGCCCAAACCGAGCAGGTAAATAAATATAAATAGGAAGTGAAACACGCGGGCGTCGTGGTTTGTGTAAATTATGAAAACGAAACGCCAAATTATCCCGATGGTGTGGCCGCCGCCCAGGGACGTTCGGTGCCGCTGCGGAGACAGAGCGATGAAATCGGCTCGCGTGCAGTGAGAGGACGGAGATGGTATGGCGGAGGACTTCATCCAGCAGTGGATCGACCATGGCTGGCGATGACAATTAAAAAAAAAAATGAAATTCGCGAAAATCGCACGAATCTCTCGGTCCCCACCTTGCCGCAGACTAGGTCAACCCCAACTCCACCACGTCCAGGCTGCCATCACAGCCGCATCCACCACTTGCTCACTAGCCCACCACCAGCCAGTCAACCCACTAACCCACTGACCCTCCGACCGGCCGATAGACTATTTCACCGACCCATCCACCAGCCAACCAACCAGCCATTCCACCAACCCACCAACCAGAAAACCAACCAGACCACCTCCACGCCAGTCGGTCAACCCACCAATCTGCCACAAGGCAGCCAACCTGCCCACCAATCGACCCATCCACCAGCTCGTCAATCCACCCAACCAACCAACCGACCGGCCAGCAAGTCAACCCCACACCCCGGCGCGAGCGTGCCGACGCCGCGGGCGCCGTCCGTCCGGGGCCCCTCGGCCCGCCCGTTAGTCCATCGCCTCCTTGGCCTTGTGGCCGCCGCACGGCCTCGGCACCTCCTCGGGCCGTTTGTCAGGACCGTTGGCGGCGGCGGTGGCGGCGGCCCCCTCCCACGAGTCGGCGGGGGCCCCCCACGAGGCCCCGTCGGGGTCGACGGCGCCGGCGGGGGGCGGGGGCGGCGGGGGCCCCCGGAAGCCCTTGCCCTTGCGGGAGGCCGCGGCGCGGCAGATGAGGATGAACCAGTAGAGCTGCGGCGCCAGCAGCAGCGTGGCGGCGACGTTGCAGACGAGCGGCAGCGAGAAGGGCACGGCCCAGACGGAGAGGCCCACGCGCCGCCCGTACTCCCAGTACATGTACGGGAAGACGAGCAGGCGGAAGAGGAAGAAGGTGGCGAGCATGAGCGCGCCGTTCAGCTTGAAGAGCAGCGTGCCCTGCTGCTTGAACTGCGGAGTAGGGCAGGCGGGAGGGGGAGACACACGAGGCAACGACGGCATTGTTAGCGGCGGCGGCGGCGTCTTCACCTGCATCGGCGATGGTTACCGTCGCCGACCTCGTTGCCGTGGTCACGGTGGTCCTCGTTGTCATTGTCGTCATCATGCTTAAATTATCGTGAATGGAGTTGGCCGAACATCCCCAATATAGGAGGACAGAGCTTGGGCAAAATGTTGGCGCCATTATTATTGGCTGATTTCCACGCAATCCCCCGCCCCTCCCTTCACCCAGCCGTGTGCAAATATCGAAGTCTATGGCGTTTTGAAATGCAGTTTTTATGAATGATGTTATATATTTAAGAAAAATTCGAATCATTATCATCATCACGGCCATCATTATCATTGCAAATTCATCATTATCATAATCATTGATCACTGTTATCATCACCAACCATTATTTGTTCCCCATAACTGAGCTGCAAGCCAGAATTGCCTCGCTGCACAAAGGCATTATTATCAAGGCTGTAACAATGTTGGTCGGGTTAGATGACAATGGAAGCGAGTTCCAGTTTATCGGTGCCATGTGTTTTTTTTAACAACGCACGCGCAGTCTTTCAATGCGTAATAATCCACCGATGCATATATTAATGCCGATCGTCCAGGCTCACAAAACACGCGCTGAATATTGCACACGTAACAAATAAGTTGTGTTACGACTCACGCGGCGTCGCACGTGATGGGTTCACGTGACCCCGGGCAGCCACCAGTGGCGCTACCTTTCAGTGCGATAAAACAATTATTCTAGAATTGAACCCATGGCCTTGAGCTCTTTTGTGGATGACGTCGAGGGTTCTCCAACGTCCACTGGGAAGCAGAAGGACACGTCTTTACACAACTCCTACACCCGCGGTTCTAAACGGGGTTGGGGCCGGATTAAGATTGTGCAGGCCCCTGGGCTACAGGCACTGTGAGGCCCCCAGTAATATTTTCAAAAGGAAAATAGAACCCTCGACGTCATCTACATAAGAGCAGGCCACTCAAGGCCATGGGTTCAATTCTAGAATAATTGTTTTATTGCACTGAAAGGTAGCGCCACTAGTAGTACTGTGAGGCCCCCAGTAATATTTTCAAAAGGAAAACAAAGTTCAAGAAAAAAGAAAATTATTTTTTTACAAGGCTAGCAACAAATAAAATTCAGCATTCACAAGTGAAATAACTTTTCACTTCAGTCTCTGGATGCCCTCCAGCTGGCGAAGGCCCCTGGGCTGCTGTTACCGCAAAAGCCCGGGAGGTATTAACCTCGTGCAGCAGAACACTCGGCTTTGGCACAGGCCGGCTTGGGCGGGGAGGGGGTTAGGGTTGCATATTGCAAACAACTCCCATCTGTTGACCCGCGGTAGCTCGTGGCGGTGATGTTTTGAGACGGCTGGGTCATGCCCAGTTCTTTTGCATCAGATTGCAAGTCGATGATTCCAATTACGGCATTTTGTACCCTCACCGCTCGCTCCGAGTGCGCCATAGGCCAGAACTCTCTCCGCCTGCCAAGGGAATATGAGCTCCGAATGCAATTATCAAATTTCCGGACGCGAAAATCGCGTTGGCAGGGGTCAATTTCACGGCGAATTGTTGTGGGGGGTTTTTTTATCCGCAAGACGTGACCAGCGGGGCAAGCGCGTAACAAATAAAATGGCAAGCGGTAAACCCGCGGCTACAGCAGCAACAATGCTTGCGGTAGCGCTACGGGGCAAAAGACGAACTTCATAACGACCACGGGATGAAGGCATCGCCCCCCTTGAGCCTGTTTTGCCACACTCCACTGCATTCGTTATTTACGGGCTGGTGAAGGGGGTGCCAAGGACGGGGTTCGGATATTGCTCACCGCTGATATTCGCAGTGGCTGTGAATCGGGGGCAGTTCACTGGGTTCAGAAGTCATCGTCACCGTTCACTACGCCACTGTTCCGCCGATGTCAATGTGACACGACGATGATTATGTACGTCTTGTATTATCTGTGGCTTATTGGTTGGTACGTGTCCCCTAGGACATAGAATACAACATTTAACATGAAAGCTCATCCCCATGATAATTATCTCAGGGTGCAATATTGTCCGATAAGATCAGTCACCAGTCTAAAGGTGGCAAGATAAATTAGGGGTCAGAGCATTGAGCCGACACTGCTGAGATTTTGTGTTTTAATCCGGTGATTAAACTGTGTTCTCAAGCTGAGCTAGATGATGGTTCCAGCCCGGTCACTGATGAATGCACAAAACTAGAAGTCAGCACACATCAACGTTGGTTTTCGATGTCCAAGTGACAAATATTTATCTCCGTTGCAGGATATGTGGGAAAGTCTGCCCCCTGGCGGGCGGGCAGCAAAAGGGTCACGCGTGAAGTGATCTCAGAAAACGTTGTGAAGCCAACTCGTGGGGGCCGTTCTCTGGCACACAGGGTGGGGTTCACTGCTCACCGACAGTTCCAAACAGACGCCTCTTGTTGGGACGCGATGCCAACGGGCACGATTGGAATACAATCGGGGGAGAAGCACAAAAGAAGAAGAAAAAAAAGGCCATTCTTGATTTGAGGCTTTCGTGACGGCAGGAATCCATCATCTTTGGTTTATTCGGTAAAGTCACGTGAGTAGAAAAATAATATATCGCGACGTTTCGATCACAACACAAGCAATCGTCATCAGGTGGGACAACCACAGCAAGAAAAAACTGCAGCAGGTTTTTATTGCCGAAATAAAAAACTGCAGCAGTTTTAATTGCCGAAATAAAAAACTGCAGCAGGTTTTTATTGCTGAAAGAAAAAACTGCAGCAGTTTTTTATTGCTGAAAGAAAAAACTGCAGCAGTTTTTTTATTGCTGAAATAAAAAACTGCAGCAGGTTTTATTGCTGAAAGAAAAAAACTACAGCAGGTTTTTATTGCTGAAAGAAAAAACTGCAGCAGTTTTTTTATTGCTGAAATAAAAAAACTGCAGCAGGTTTTAATGCTGAAAGAAAAAACTGCAGCAGGTTTTTATTGCTGAAAGAAAAAACTGCAGCAGTTTTTTTATTGCTGAAATAAAAAACTGCAGCAGGTTTTAATGTTGAAAGAAAAAACTGCAGCAGGTTTTTATTGCTGAAAGAAAAAACTGCAGCAGTTTTTTTTATTGCTGAAATAAAAAACTGCAGCAGGTTTTAATGCTGAAAGAAAAAACTGCAGCAGGTTTTCATTGCTGAAAGAAAAAACTGCAGCAGTTTTTTTATTGCTGAAAGAAAAAACTGCAGCAGGTTTTTATTGCTGAAAGAAAAAACTGCAGCAGGTTTTTATTGCTGAAAGAAAAAACTGCAGCAGTTTTTTTATTGCTGAAAGAAAAAACTGCAGCAGGTTTTTATTGCTGAAAGAAAAAACTGCAGCAGTTTTTTTATTGCTGAAAGAAAAAACTGCAGCAGGTTTTTATTGCTGAAAGAAAAAACTGCAGCAGTTTTAATTGCCGAAATAAAAAACTGCAGCAGGTTTTTATTGCTGAAAGAAAAAAAACTACAGCAGGTTTTTATTGCTGAAAGAAAAAACTGCAGCAGTTTTTTTATTGCTGAAATTAAAAACTGCAGCAGGTTTTAATGCTGAAAGAAAAAACTGCAGCAGGTTTTTATTGCTGAAAGAAAAAACTGCAGCAGGTTTTTATTGCTGAAAGAAAAAACTGCAGCAGGTTTTAATGCTGAAAGAAAAAACTGCAGCAGGTTTTAATGCTGAAAGAAAAAACTGCAGCAGTTTTTTTATTGCTGAAAGAAAAAACTGCAGCAGTTTTTTATTGCTGAAAGAAAAAACTGCAGCAGGTTTTTATTGCTGAAAGAAAAAACTGCAGCAGGTTTTTATTGCTGTGGACAACGTCGTGATCTATAATTTTCTACCTACGTGACTTTACCGAAAGAACCAAAGAGTATAAAAAAGGCGATGTCCACTTCCTAGTTTGGCACCCATACACAAACCCATGGCGACAGCGGGACAACGCGGGCCGACAAACGGGCGAATGGGTGCGTCCAGTACCTGCAGCAAGATTTTGCCGAAGCACACGAACGGCGTGCTGACCTCGGCCATGAAGAGGCAGCCCTGGAAGAAGTCCCCGAGCTCTCCCCTCACCATCTGCGGGGCGACACGGGGGAGTTCGCGGTTAACGACGTTCGCTCAGCCACGCCGTTCGCTCTGCCACGCCGTTGATTGAGGATGACGGACGGAACGGGGTGGAAGGAGAGACGTTCTTGGGGGGGCCCTGACCGAACAGCGGCTGCCTTACGAGCGCAAGGCCGCGGTTTCTTGCAAATTTGGGGTTACGGTTGTCCCAGAGGAGCGTCATGTGAGACCCGCGGGGACTCGTTAAAATAAAAAATAATTGCTTGGTTGTAATTTTCGATTTAAAGCTTTCGTGACTGCAGGGATTCATCTTCTTGGTTCTTTCGGTAAAGTCACGTAGAAGGGAAATAATAAAATAATGCAAATTTTACATAATAAATTATTTTGTCAAGGCTCTCTTCCCCCTCCAACCCAGCTTAAATATACGCTCCAAGCCTGGGGTGTTTCATTCAGACGCTGTCTTCCCGACAGACCTGTTCTTCACGTGAGGACGGCTGCTTGCGTTGTGGCCGAAACGTCGTGATAATTATTTTATTATGTTTTATTTTTATTATTTTATTATTTCCCTTCTACGTGACTTTACCGAAAGAACCGAGAAGATGCTTGGTTGTGTTCACGCCAGTGCGGGCGCTCGGCACAGGCAAACAACGTCAACAGCTTCGGGCCCCAAGCATCCCAAGGGCCCTCCGCAATTATGAAAATACATGGGTGCACAAAATGTCACCTCTAATTAAGATCCTCATTGACATAACACGCTAATTAGCATAGCAATCGGATGAACCTCTCTCATCTCTGCATCTGCCTTTTATCATCTCACGACACCCTAATATTGGTCTGCATCTCTCTTAACTCACGGTTAAGAAGGGAAATAATAAAATAATAAAAATAAAACATAATAAAAAATTTATTTTATTATGTTTATTTTTATTATGGCGAATTGTTGTGGGTTTTTTTTTATTTCCCTTCTACGTGACTTTACCGAAAGAACCAAGAAGATGAATCCCTGCAGTCACGAAAGCTTTAAATCGAAATTTTATATAACTTTATTTATTTAACTTAACAATTGTTCTATGTTTATTGTTCTATTTCAATTAACGCATTTTAATAAATACACGTTGGAAGCAATTCATATCTTTTAAGTCCTCATCCTTGCATTAGAATATATAGAGCAGTTCATATTTTGATGGTATCACGTGGTAATGCTCCATCACATGTTTTTAATCTATTACACAGTGAATATTCAACTGAAGCTTGACCTAAAATTTGTTTATCGCAAATCAAATCGCAATATGTCAGAAAAATCGCAATTAGATATTTTCCCCAAATCGTTCAACCCAACAGTCCGTACCCAGGTGGGGCACCACCGGTGTGGACGTGAAAGTTGATCTGGCGAGAGTTTAGTGGTCAGGGTGAAGATAATTCACGTACTGGGAGCAGGATAGGGGCAGGGGAGAGGAGGGGACTGGGGGAACTGGAGCGGGGGGGGGGGCAGTAGACTCTCAAAGATATATTATTTTTGACAAAAATGGCTATCATGTGCAGTAGATAGATTGAGCGGACGGAAAGGAGTTGCATCTCTCTCGCTTTCCGTTTTCTCAATTAGCCCCTATATGTCTCCTTCAGTTTTTCCTCCCAGTGGCCAATGGTTTTCAGCAATACCGCCCCACCCCCCACCCCCGATTCACGTCTCACCCTTTGACGTCGCTTCGCAAGTAAGTCGTCAATGAACGCCATCGCCCGATTTGCGTCACCTCAACCCAGAGGTCGCAACCGGGTACCCGATACCCGTACCCTACCCGGTACCCGGCTACCCGTACCCGGCCGGGTACAGGTACGGGTACCCGTTTGCGACCTTGGTGCGGCCGGGTACTGGTAGGCCGTGAGTCACTGGTGAGTCACCGTTTGTCATTCATTTCCCAACGTCTTGTTTCTTCTCACAATTCAAGTTCCTAGAATCAACCCACCCGCGCCTGCAACACAGCTTCATCCCAGAGGTCGCAATCAGGTACCCGATACCTGTACCCTACCCGTACCCGGCCGAAACCGGCCGGTTACGGGTAGGGTAAGGAATCAAAATCCGTTTGCGACCTCTGCCTCAACCCACACTTACGTCGCTGACAGCATCGTCCGTCCTTTCTCGTTATCCGTCGCCTGGGAACTTCGCCATCCATCCACCCTGGACACGAACTACTTTGCGTCGCGCATAAAGAAATGTCAAGTACTGCGTCGTACAGTATAATGTCTTATTTACGAACAGAATGTTTAGTGATTGCTTTGATTTACGTCGTTTCGATATTCTTCGCGCCTTTCAGGAGTGCGTCCCCGACCGGGGTATTATTGTATTTCTTTAATTTCCTGATGTGCAACGCTTTGTGCGCCTTGTCGTGAAAGGCGCTTTAAAAAATGCAATTTCTTCTTGTTCTTAAAACATGGGTGGGGAACCTCCTCTTCGTTACCGACGGTCAAATCGGCCTTTCAAATACCTTTGGCGGGGCCACACATTAACACACATTAACACACACACACATCTCAGTAACGTCTGTCACCACAAGAGGCCACTGCAGCGACCGAAGTGACTGGGTACAGTGGTCAAAAACATGCCCCTCTAGTGTCCGATTAGTGCGGCTGTGATGCCCGCGGCGGACGGACGGATATCGTTTCGTGCGGGCCGCTGCAAAACCGTAGACCTCGTGTGGTCCAAGGGCCGTACAAAATGAAGTATCGTGTCTGTAGAGGGGGGGGGGGGGGCGTAAGTTCGCCACCCACGGCACACAACAACAACAACAACTTTCTCGTGGCTATAACGCGCGGCGGCGTCGCGGGGTCAAGGCGCGCGGTCACGTACCGTGGACACGGGGAAGCAGAGCATGCACACCCCAACGTGGTGCATCACCATGAGCGTCTCCTTGGCTATGAACTGCCGGCCCGTCTGCACCAGCTGATCCCACAGCAGGCCTCGGGACTTGGTCCGTCCGCCTCCGTCGAGTCCAGGGCCGTTACCGCGTGCGGGGCCCACGCCCTCCCGCATGGCTCGCCGGTGCCAGTGGCACAGGAACATCGCGCAGACGTCGTAGAGGAAGTAGGGGGTGGCGAACCACACGTACCACGTGGCCAGCCAGTGCCTGCTCGCGCACAGCCACAGCGACAGTTGAGTTTCGATTTAAAGCTTTCGTGACTGCAGGGATTCATCTTCTTGGTTCTTTCGGCAAAGTCACGTAGAATTGAAATAATAAAATAATAAAACATAATAAAATAATTCTCACGACGTACGTTTCGGCCACAACGCAAGCAGCCGTCATCAGGTGAAGAACAGGTCTGTCGGAGAGACAGCATCTGAATGACAACCCCAGGCTTGGAGCGTCTTTTTTTCCAAGCCTGGGGTTGTCATTCAGACTGTCTTCTTGACAGACCTGTTCTTCACCTGAGGACGGCTGCTTGCGTTGTGGCCGAAACGTCGTGAGAATTATTTTATTATGTTTTATTTTTATTATTTTATTATTTCCATTCTACGTGACTTTTACCGAAAGAACCAAGAAAGCGACAGTTGAATTCAGCAAAATCAGGAATATTTCTTTACGCTGGAAGAATCCGATGAGATGTAAAGCTCTTTTTCACAGGTGTTCAGTCGGGGCGGGTCAGAAAGTTATAATAACAAACAATACGAAAACACGATGGGAGTGAAGAGCATAGGAAAGTTAAGCAAATCACTAAAAAGACATCGATTTTTATTTTACAAGGTCAAGCCCGCTGTGCCATTTGCTTATTTTTCAGAAGCGACCTGGTCACAAATGATAGTTCAATGAAGTGGCTCATCATCACGTGGACATTTATAGCAGCCAAATCATATACGTAATAATCTAAACATTTATGGTCCGTGGGTCAAGGGCAAATATTTTATTACTTGAGATGGCAAAACTTGAGTTGTACCAACATTGTTGATTCATAATAAATGTTTTTGGGTGAGATCGCGTTATTTATAAATGTGTCGTAACCCTCCACCACCCGACACGGCCAATCAGCAAAAAAGTGTCACGTTGACAAAAGACAAATAGTTCACTACTTTAGCCCACCGGTGTGTTGAAGAGTGAAACCACAACATTTACAATTTGACACATTTATAAATAACGCGATCTAACGCAAAACCGTTTATTATGAATAATATTGGTCGCGAAAGCCTACGTGTTAAATTTGAGTTTTGAGTTTATTGCGATTTGGTTTACGGATGATCCCCTTTAGCCAGTTGTTGCCCGGATATTCTTTTACACGAGAGATCCGTGGTACGCGAGCAACAGCAGCAGCAACACAAAACAAAAACATCGGGTTCTTTAGCAACATCACACAACTTACAAACGGGGTATATTTTTTTACGGTCATTAATTAATTTAAAAAAAAGCTGCAGATATAATGAGAGCAAGAGGTGCAAGTCAGTTCGATATTTCAGTCTAAGAGTAGTGATATAAACACACGTGCATCAAACAAGAGATTGCAAACATGTGGGTGGGAAGAGGCCCCAATGGATGTAAATTATGCAATAACCCACAATTAACACGTATGTTGTCACGTAATCCACTTGTATCAGCCACATTGACAAAATAATCATTTACATTTATTCGTAAGGCGCCTTCCACTAACGTCTGACAGCGCCTTGAGACATTAGTGGTATCGATAAATATTTGCCACCACACCGCGGCAATGCATTCTGGTCTGGCCCATGGATTGTTGTTGCGTGCCAGCGACGCCAAATCAATGTAAGCACCTCTGCGCAAGCGTTCACGGCCGCGGCTCCTTGGTGCGTTTTTCAGGGTCGTACCACGTGTCATCCACATGTTTGATGAAGAGTGAATTTATCTTCTTGGTTCTTTCGGTAAAGTCACGTAGAAGGGAAGTAATAAAATAATAAAAATTAAACATAATAAAATAATTCTCACGACGTTTCGGCCACAACGCAAGCAGCCGTCCTCAGGTGAAGAACAGGTCTGTCAAGAAGACAGTCTGAATGACAACCCCAGGCTTGGAAAAAAAAGACGCTCCAAGCCTGGGGTTGTCATTCAGATGCTGTCTCTCCGACAGACCTGTTCTTCACCTGATGACGGCTGCTTGCGTTGTGGCCGAAACGTACGTCGTGAGAATTATTTTATTATGTTTTATTATTTTATTATTTCAATTCTACGTGACTTTGCCGAAAGAACCAAGAAGATGAATCCCTGCAGTCACGAAAGCTTTAAATCGAAATTTAAGAGTGAATTTAGTTGAGCAATCGAAATCGGATTCAGAAGAAGTTCCCGGCACGTGGAGTGAAACGCCGAACATCATCAGACATCATGCCGAGCAACGCGCAGTGCAGGCCCACCCAGTTAGATTAGCGAGTGCTGTGTGGCAATCCAATGGGCAGATCCCGTAATCTCACTTAATCATGCATCTTATCGGTAACTGGCAAAAGTCCGTTGATATTTTGTCGCGTACGATGGAATCATCTCGTAGCTTGAGTTAGTGACGTTAAACCTCCAGCAACCGAGGCGTTCTATTGAAACCCGAAATTAACCTTGGCAGGTCACAGTTTAACCTCTGTTGCCCTCCGCCTGTCCCCCAGACATCCATGCTGTCGACTCCACCATGCCCTTGTTCCAGTCCTGACTCAAGCGCTGCCTCTTCTCCTCTGCCTACGACTGACTGACTGCATCTCCTCTACAATGGTGTACACATTTCACTGTGAAATGCGCGGCAGCAATCCACGCCGCAATTTGGATTTACGCTCCATCAATCCAAATTGTATGAGACGCGGTAAATTACATGAAGCCATTTCAACCAATAGAACTAATAGCTCTGGCGGATTTGCACGACCCTGCCCGCCTGTAATTGACTAAAGGGTAATAATAATAATCATTTGATATTTGAAGCTCAGCCGATCGCTATTTGTTTCGCACGGACTTCCAACGAGAGCGAACAGACGACGCTTTGAGCTCCCGCCGTGAGATTTTCTGCCGGTCTCGTGGATGAACGCCGGATGAAGGAGATTACTACGGCTCGAGCCCCGCTATGCCTCACACCACGATGCCGGTGGCACGCCACGTGACGCCTTCGATGCGTCGCGCGGGGCACACGTGTAAAGTTTACATCGGAGCATCGCCAAGGGCTCCGCGTCAGATTTTATATAAATTACAAAGTCCCTTGAGATTGTTTATTCTTCTTCTTCTTCTCGAAAGGGCAGGGCTTTTTCGTAATTTCCATGGGTTCCACCAATAGTCAGTTGCCCATGTTTTTATTTAGATATTTTTGGTTTTATTGTATTATGACTGGGTTATTACTGGTGTGTCAGTTTTTTTACTTCAATAAGATTTTTTTTTTACCTCTGATGTGCAGCGCTTTGAGAATACCAATTTGAAAGGTGCTCTATAAAACTGAGTTTATCTTTATTTTTGAAACAAACGTCATTTTTCCGACAAGGCTTTATCAGACCAGTGTGTTTTGAAACATGTGCAATCAGATATGGTGAACGCGCGCGTGCTCGCTCGCTCGCACAATACACAGAGCACAAATCAACACGCTCCAAAACGTCTGATTCCGTTACCGCGGTATAAGTAATCTGGATCTGCTCATCTGCTGTGTTTAAATGCCCATGCTGTATGGGGAGCGGCAGTGTAGCAGTTATCTCGCTGCGCTACGAACCAAGCCCAATGACGATTATCTGAACCAGTCCTGGGCCTCCCCGAGGTCGATTCAGCCTCAAATGAGTACCTGGTGCAAAGTGTAAACATTGCCACTAGGGAGACAAAGGCGGCCGGGCGTGGTGCTGGCCACCCACCCCCTCGTGTGCTGTGGCAGCCTTCATAGGTGCTCGCTAACAGCACTTGCCCCAGCAGTATGTTAAGGCTACACGGGGTGTCTTTGTACACTGGGATGGTGTGTAGTGCTGCAAAATGCATTGTTGTACTGTGATTCTCTGTTCCCACATCTATGCTCCACAGTCTTCATCAACCCGTGCTGGCCAGCATCAGAATCAGAAACTTTAATTATACTCGAGGAATCTGATGAGCTCTCAAGCAATTTTTCACAGATCTCCAGTAAGGGTGGGTCGGCAAGTTAAATCAACAAAAAATTACGAAAACATCAAACAATAAAAGATACTCGAGTTAGACAGAGAAAAGTTAAGCAAGTCACTAATAGATTTAAATAAAGCATGGAAGTACAAATTGCACCAGTACATATTCTTAGTTTTTTTCGGTAAAGTCACGTACTTTACCGAATGCACCAGTACACAATATCCAAATGCAAGCATGGGCAAGGCAGCAACACAACCACAACAAACGAAGACCACGCCGAGACAAAGCATGAGTCACTCGACCACATTGCACCTAAAAATGCAACCACCGATACCACTGGTAATGTTCACAATTCCAAAACACAGCCACAAATTTTGCTGTATCTGGCACGAATCTTGTGCTTAAACATGGTCAGCTCACTCTACCCCCCCCCCCCCCCCCATTGACACGTACGGCATAGGGAAGTCCTCATCCAGCTGTGGATTGACATAAGGGCTGTACTGTATACCGACATGTGTACACATACAAAGCTCCCCCGTATAGGCGTTTACCGACTGTTGGGGCAAGTGCTGTAAGTGAGCAGTTATTAATATCCTCAGAGCATACATGGTGTGGCCAAACACCACACCCGGCCGCCTTTGTCTCCCCAGTGCTGATATTTAGACATCGCACCAGGTACTCATTTGAGGCTCAGTCGACCTAGGGGAGGTCCAGGGCCACTTCAGATATTCGCCACTGTTATTGGTCGTGGCTGGAAATTGAATTCGGATTGCCGGCTTTCACAGCTAAGCGCGCTAACCACAACACTTTGGCACACACGTACCCAAGCATCCATACGAATGTCAAAATATAAATAGTGCTCATGGATATTAAGAGCAGTGGTGTGACGATGTGTTGATTACTTAATTGATATCGATTCTTGAGGCTCATGATACACCCGTCAAATCGCATGTTCAAATTGCACCAGCGCATTATTTCCAAATGCAAGCTTGGGCAAGGCAGCAACACAACCACCACAAACCGCGACCACACAAAGATTAGCACGATTGTCTATGTACGATGCGAAAAAAGTTCAACATACA